TAATTTGGGCCCCAGCTGAGAACAATACGGTACCACATCTCCCGGGCTCAGGGAGGTGACAATTTCGTCCCGGCCCCCAGCACATCCATTCGCATTGGTACGCCGTGAACTGCTGACCGGACAAACACGACCCTTTACTAGGGGTGGCCCTGACCCTTCATCCTCATTGTACTGCACTGCCTCTTCATCCAACTCTCCCCAATTTACATTATTATCGTCGGCATCCTGACAAACCCCATTTATCACAGGCTTAATGTCACATACCGCCGCTACTAACGCTTGTCTCCGTTCGTTACCTTCCTTCTCTTCCTCTTTTCCTTTCCTTAACTCTTCTAACTCCGCTCGCTCCTGCCTCCCTATTTCTTGGCAGCGCAGGGCTCTTACTGAGCGCAGAAGTCCGCCTTGTACTTTGCTGACTGCTCTCTCGCTTCTTCCAGATCCTTCTGAAATCTTTCCCTCTCATGCTCCTGCTGGGTATGAAAATCCGCCTCATGCTTAGCAGCCTGTTCTCTCACTTTTCCTAGCTCCTCTTCTAATCTCTCCTGTTCACGNTTTTTTCTCCTCCTGCCATATGCGTCTTTCTTCTTCTACGTGTTGGCAACTCACGACAGCCCAGTATTTCAACAAAACTTCCTTCTCGCTATCACTCAACCTCCACTGAGTGCCTAACTCCTCGATCTCTCCTACTAAAGGCTTATACCCTGTAGCGCCACTTGGCTGCGGAATATTCTCATCGTTCGCCCCCAACTTCAACTTCTGAACCGTTTTAATGAGCTTCCTTTCAAAGTTCACAGCCCAGTCGCAACCAGAATTATTTCCCGGGGCCATAGTGCCAATTGGAATACCACAATTACTATCGGTCCTGGTCCCTCTCCTTACCCGAGGTAATAGAGGGTTTTCCTCGGCTTGCACCGGCTGTCCGAACAGTTGAAATTTACCCCGCGACTCACGGTACCAACTCTCTTAATGAGCTTTCTTTCGAATTTCACAGCTCAGTCTCAACCAACAGGTTATTTCCAGCGACCAAAGTCACAATTGAATACAACAACATTCAATTACTGTCGATCCCGGTCACTCTCCTTACCCAGAGGTAAAAGGGGATTTCCTTCCCTCGGTTTGGACTGACTTAATACCTATAGGGGAATAACTAAAAACTAAACATTTATAAGTAAATAACTAAAAACTTAACATAAACCATCGCTTGATTGTACTTACTCCGTCCCACTTTCCTGAACGATCCTGCCGACTACGCCAAATTGTTAAGGAAAAAAAAGTTTTCGAGTTCCAATCAAACACAGCTACTGTTTGCAACCAGAGTGGTGTTTATTAAACTCCAGGATCCGTCCAAGTTCCCGATGGGCGTGGGCAAGTAAGCACAATCAATCAATTCACTAACAGAACAAAACTACCACGTAATCCCTCCTCGTGTACGTCTACTTCTGCCTTCTAGTTCTCAGTCTTCCATCCACGGTAGGTACGGTCCTGGGCGCGCGCCAATCTTGGTCTGGCACTGTGTCTTAAGCTTGTGTCCATCCAATCATGGTGCGGATATTAGGTCACCTGGCCAAAATCATGCTGGGTTCACGTGAACATCTCACGGGGTGCACGTGCCTCACACACACAAACACTGTCTTTAAAACAGTCCGTTATCTCGTGTATGTGCAGGACCGTAGTACACATCCTGTCCTTGAGACACCCACGTGATCTTGGGTGTAAACTCATGAGTTTCAGTCCAGTTGCCCCCCACACACTTAGCTTAAAAGTTAACCCGTTCGCAACATCTATTATGATTCTAACATTATATAAAATGTGTAAATTCTAATAATTAATATTGGTTGGTCACTCCATGGTTGTGTGAGATATTATTGTGTGCAAATTCGCTGCTTCTTTTGCCTACCAATTCATGATCAGTAAACTTCACAGTAAAATCCACTGAGGTGATTTAAAACATTTCGTTGATGTGATAAAATGCTGGATCAAGAGCCAGGATTGTTATTATTATAGTTTGCCACTGCAAACACTGCGCAGTGTCTGGCTGCTTGTCCAGTTTGACCTACGCTATAATGTGACTGAAAGAGCTAACAGGAGCTGGTCCACTATCAACAGTACTTTGGAGTACCTGTGCTCTCACCCAGATAAGGAGCTGGACCTCCGAAACCAGAGAATGTCAACACAGTTTTGATATTTCATTGGCATGTTGGAGCCAGACCCCACCTCCTAGTGATTCTAAACAAAAGCAGCTTTGTAAAAAAGAAGTGCTGATCGTTAAGAAATAATTCAACAATAATGATATATATATATAGTGGAGTCCTGTAGCTCAGTGGTTAGAGCACTCGCTTTGCAAGTGAGAGACCTGAGTTCAATTCCAGGCAGAGGGCCAAACCTTGGGCAAGTTTCCTTACTCCACACAGAGCCTAATAATAATCCCTACAAAAAAAACAATAATAAATTGGTCATTTTCAATCTACGACTGTTTGTGGGACATTGCTGTGCGCAATTGGCTGCCGCGTTCGCCCACAAACATACAGTCAATTCATTTTACAGTGTGTTCTGTGAAGCACTTTGGGACGTCCTCCCGACGCGAAAAGCGCTATATCAAATGCAAGGATTATTATTATTATTATTATTATAGCTGTCCTTTAAAAACTCGCAACCACACTCTGACCAATTGATTTGTCCCCCATCCCATCTCCATGATATTGGTCGATTCAGTTTGAAGAAATATCTTCCCACCTCATGTTCCTCCAGTCTGGTTATAACTATCAGACTGGACAGTGAAGTAGGAAAGCTTCACGTCTTTGTGTGTCAAAGTTGGGCAACTGAATAGACAAAGTTATTCTCTGAGCACTCGTTTAAATAGCTTTTCCTTTTGGTCGAACGCTCTGTCAAGGGGATTAATTTGATGAGAGAAGGCAACGTCTGGCAGTAAGATGTCCACCTCTCTGCCCTCACGCTCTGGAACTCCATCCCACGGTCCCTTCGCCCACTTCCTCCATCGCCTCCTTCAAGTGTCTGAAGACCCTCCTCTTCGATCCTCTTCGGTCGCCCTCCCACCCCTCCACCTCCACCATCCCTACCCCGAAAGGCGTTCTATTAATGTCATGTTGTTGTTGTTGTTGTTGTTTCCCTATAACTGCGGGAGTCGATACTCCTCAAACACTTCAGAAAAGGGAGGATCTGAGCACGAGACAGTGACGGTTGGACAGGGAGCGCGAGGCGGGGAGGAGCGGGGGATGATTGACGTGGACAGGAGGCCTATCAGAGCGCGATACGACTCATTGACATCACCGCTGACCAATGGAACGATACAAGTGAGGAGGTGGGTATTTTGAAAAGACCAATGGGGAACGAGTAGGCGGGGATTGAGTCGAATGGACAGAGCGCAAAGCGGGAAGGCGGGCGATGATTGACGTGAGTTTAGACCTATGAGAGTGCTTACAACTTAATTGACAGCGCCTGTAACCATAAAAGAGCTAAGTCTGAGGAGGCGGCTGTTGCAAAGGACCAATGGGGAGCGAGTGGGCGGGGACAGAGTGACGGTTGGACAGAGCGCGAGGAGGGGAGATTGACTTGAAAACTGGATTCTGACAGCGCAGGTTCTGATTGACGACGGAGCTGACCAATGAGAAAGGCTGAGTGAGGGGCGGGTGTTGGAAGGCACCAATGGGGAACGAGTGGGCGGGGACAGAGTGACGGTTGGAGGAGGAAAAGAAGCTCAGATACTGTGGAGGCGGTGAGGTGTTGATCAGCCGGAGAGGGAGTGGCCCCACAACCCGGAGCTGATAGGGCATCCGGTCAGTCAGAGAAAGACAGAGAGAGAGAGTGTGAGACAGTGTGTGAGCGCGTACGTGTGTTTGAGCGACTGTGTGTACGAGCACGCGCGTGTGAGCGTGAGCGCGTGTCAGCACACGTGTGTGTGAGCGCGACTGTGCGCGCGCGAGCCTGGGTGTGAGCGCGGGTGAGCGCGCGTGCGGGTTTGAGCGCGAGTGTGTGTGAGCGCGTGTGTGTGTGAGCGCGAGTGTGTGTGTGCGCGCGCGAGCCTGGGTGTGAGCGCGGGTGTGCGCGCTTGGGCGGGTGTGCGAGTGAGTGTGTGGGTGCGCGCGTGTGTTTGTGTGGGTGCGCGCGGGTGTGAGCGCGAGTGTGTGTGTGTGTGAGCGCGAGTGTGTGTGTGTGTGTGAGCGCGAGTGTGTGTGTGTGAGCGCGTGTGTGTGAGCGCGCGCGCGGGTGCGACCGCGGGTGTGAGCGCGCGCACGCGGTCAGGAGGAACCCGGTTGTCAGTCGATTGGGGGATCACTTTCTGGGGTTAATAATCCCTTTGAAAAATAATAAACTGCTCACTCAATGGCCACTGTTTGTGCGGCACCGCTATGTGCTGCCGCGTTTCATTCACCATATTCACAGTCACTACACTTTGCAGTAAATTCTGTGATGCTGTTTGAGACGTCTCGGAAGACGTGATACGGCGCTGTATCAAATGCCAGGATTATTATTATTACTATTATTATATCTTTAAATTATTAAATGAGATCAGCAAATTTACCTTAAAAGGGTGTACAGGGTGTTAGTAATGTGGCAAACAGCCCCGCGGGAGGAAAGGCACAAGGAATTCTGTGTTGTTAATGTGTGGTATTAATGCGGTGTGGAACATTGATTGGCTGTGCAGCATTAATGGGGTGTGGGGTATGAATGGGGTGTGGGCTATTACTGGGATGCGCACTGTTACTGGGGTGTGCGCTCTCAGTGAACTGTGGACTATTATTTGGTTCTGCGCTATTAGTGGGGTTGCCCTATTAATGGAGTGTGGGATATTAATGGTTTTGTGTGGTATCAACTTGCATTGATATAGCGCCCATCACGTGTGATGGTGTCCCGTAGCACTTGACAGTGGCGGAGTCTGACCCCCAGCCAGTGGGAGAGGAAGTGGGGAGGTGACCATAAACACGATCAAAAAGAAAGGACTTTAGCCGGGATTTAAAAGAGGGGATGGAGGGAGGTGGCAAGGTGGGGGGATTGAGGGAGAGAGTTCCAGAGTTTCGGGGAATGGTTGTTCAAGGCACGGCTACTGATGGTGGAGGGGACGAGGGATGAACAGGAGGCCGAAGCCAGATGAGCAGTGTTGGGGAGAAGCAAATTGGAGAGATAGGGAGGTGCGAGGGCTCAAAGGGATTTGTAAACTAGTGACAAGATCTTGAAATCGATCCGTTGGTTAACTGGGAGCCAGTGAAGTCTGTCGATGCCCGGTGTGATGGAGATACAGAGCTTTGAGCCCTTGATGTGAGCTGCCTTTTTTTGTCTATCTCTCAGAAGTGAAATGTTTCACCCTGCATTCAGGATGGAAGCCAGGAAGCCAGCGAGGCAGAAAAGCAAGGAGGTGACTAGCTCAATGTACACTTTACATTGCAGCTCGGAAGCAGGCCATTTGACCCAGCAAGTCAAACCTGCTGTTTGCTCCACCTGTTCCACTCTCCATCTCGTCCTTACCCTTTTATTCCCATCTTCCTCATGTGTCTACTTCACTTCCTCTAAAATGCATCTCATTTAGATCCCACAGTAACTAACAACAACAAATTACATTTGTACAGGGCCTTACCTTATACTTGTGTCCCCTGGTTACGGATTTCCCAACAAGTCGAACCAACCTATATCTGCTAACCTTATCAAACCATTGTGTAATGTTAAACCCCTCTATTAGGGCCTCTCTTGATCTTCTCTAGTGAAGAAAGGCGTACTCTATCCAGTCTATCCTGATAGCAGTAACCTGTCCCCCCTTGTCATTCTTGCCTTTCACATCGGGAGGAGCACTACATGGACAGCTAAATGGGATGCCATCCGAAAGGTGGCAGCTCCAACAACGCAGCTCACACCCAGCTCTGCACTGGGAGTGTCAGCTTAGACTATATCGGTTCAAAATCCTGACATGGAGCTTGAAACCCAACCTTCTGATGCAGAGGCCAGAGTGAGACAGACTGACTCACGCTTATAATGTTCTTGCCTTCTGCATTTCAGAGCAAAAAGGAGAGCTCCCACATCCCGTCAGGATCAGCTGAGGCTAGAGGTGACCACACAGGAGATATGAGTGAAGCCACAGGTTCAGTAAATAAACAGAGCATTCTGGCCAAAAGAGGAGGAGTCTCAGTTGGTGACAATGAAGTTCTCAAGATATCTAAGAAAGGTATTCTTCCTGCAAAAACCTACACCGAAAGGTTGCGCCAAGAAAGATTTGTCGTATTGTGTCTTTGACAAAAGTCGAGGGGATCCGATTAAGCTGCCTCTGCCTTTCCAAGTACTACACCCTCCCCATCTCCCCATCACATCCCAACCATCCCTCCCTCCACGCCTTCGAACCTGTCTCCCCCTCCTCTCTCATCACCACTATAATCTGCATGTAACCGACCACCTGCACCCTCAACCCCATCCCTACCCCTCTCCTTACCTCCTTGCCCCCCGACTAACAGACATCATAAACCTCTCCTGATCCGCTGGTACTGTTCGCACCACATTAGAAACAGCCGTCATCACTACTTAAATAACTCTCCTTGGACCCAACCCTGCTCTCAACTTAGCATCCTATCTCCAAACTCCCTTTCCCTACCAAGGTCCTGGAATAAGTCGTCACTTCCCAGCTTTGCTCCTTCTTCTCCCACCACTCCCTCACGAACCCCTCCAAACGACTTTCCGTGCCGCCCAGAGCACAAAAACAGCCCTTGTCAAAGTGACACATGACATTCTGTCCATCTGCAGCCAGGGCTCCTTCTGCGTACGGTCACCTTCCACATGTATGCGAGATATCCAACTCTATCTCTCTGCCTCGACCCTCAACTCCAGGACCACTGCTGTCCTGACGGAATGTCTGTCAGACATCAAGTCCTGGATCAGAGCTAACTTCCTACAGTTGGACATCAAGACCTAGGCTCCCGTCAGCACCTCTTCATCTCAGGCGCTGACAGCATCATCATTCAAGGTTGCTCACTCCATCTTACTAAGCCAGTATGGAACCATGGGGTCTTGTTTAACTCCCAACTGTCCTTTCCACCCCACATTGCCCGGCTCCACCACTGTTTCACACCCCATGCTGCTGAAACCCTCAAACGCTCTTGGTCGGCCTCCCCAACTCCTCCCTCCATAGGCTACAGATCATCCAGAACTCTGCAGTCCGTATTCTCTTTCCCACAGGACCATCCGTGACCATATCACCACCATCCTCGCCCGACTCCACTGGTTTCCCATCACATCAGGATACAGTTGAAGGTCCTCACCTTCAAAGCCCTCCATGACCCCTACCTCTGTGTCCTCCTAATCCCCGATCAACAGCCCGCTCCTTGCGCTCAGTGGGCTGCAGACTGTTCCTGTCACCCGCCCCGCCATTGGGGATATGGCCTTCAGCCACTGCCCCATCTGGAACTCCATCCCGCAGTCCCTCCCCCTCACCCCCCTCCCTCACCTCCTTTGAAACCTGTCTCAAGACCATCCTCTTTGACCATACGTTCAGTCACCTTTCTTCCCTTCTGCATCCTCCCCAATCCCAACCACCAGCTCGGTCAAAAACACTGAGGACATACTCCTGACGTGAATGGCGCTATAGAAATGTAATTTTGTTGTTGTTGTTTGCCTCTGCTGATCCGGCTTTCCAATTCTATCATTAATCCATTTTCAATTAGAAGAAATGGATTGTTTTTCAGACTCTCTGTCTGTCTTAGTCTCACTATCCATCCACACTCCTAGGTGAGGGTTAGAGGCGCAGTGAAGCTGCCTCTATCAGGGCTTCCTACTCCCAGGTCAGGGTGATAACTCTCGCAGGGCGACTTAGAATCGATAAACTCAAGACTCGGAGACCAATGGTTGTTTAACAGTTTATTAAGTTTCCGAATATAGTTGAAAATATACTGATCAGTACAATTTTAGGTTAAAGGTTATACAGTTAGGATTTCCAGGTTCAACGACACACGATTAAAACAGGAACGCACTTAAAGAGTCAATATGATTAACAAATATGTTCAGAGACGACTATCATAATCATGATTACCCCGACTGGCTCACAACACTAATTTATGAGGAAGTCATAGCATCCCGATTGCAAATACTGTCCAAGAAAAGTATACTACTAAATCATATAAGGTTAACACAGTGGGTACAGGAAGGAAGGTGTGTCGTGTATGGTTGCGTGAGTGTGTGTATCACTTTACTACCAGTAACTAGCAGCTGCTTCGACAGGGTCACAATAGGATATTCCAGCAACGAGTCTTGAACCGTCTGCAGTGTGTACTCTGTCGGCCCCCAGCTCTTGTAGGCAGGATCACTCTCTCTCCTTCAGATTCTTGGCTTACTCAGCTACCTCCATTGGGATATGCGGTGACCTTCTCTGGTTAGTCAAGTAATCGTCTTGATGGATGATCTCAGCTGCTCTCCTCCTGCTCTCCAGAGTCACCCAGTAATCAGTGTGATCAGCTGGACAGACTGCCTGCTCGCTGGTCTCTTTGAGTTTTAACTCGGATTCCGTGTGGTTCTCTCTCCTTCAGCCCTCCTGCTCGTACTCCGAGGAGTCGTTCTCACTTGCCTCCTCTTGACTTCCTATATTTGTACTTCTAGCAGCATTTGTACAAAAAACAGGTCTTGTCTGGCCATTGTCCTCTTTTCCTTATCTCCCTGACCTTTAGTCTCCTGATCCTTTTAGTTTTTTTTCTCTAATTCAATCCGTTCTTCCCTGGAATGCTCTCAGGTCAGCATTTTCTTCTCTTTCTTACTTGACCTCTGCCTATTGTTAAACTAGTTAAATCAAAAGGGAGCTGGCACGGGATAGTACCATGACCCTTGGACCTTCCTAATCCCCCCTTCGCATCTGCGCATCATTCTTTGGGCTGTCTTTATCTCGTTTTTCTCAATACACTTTGATTTTTGGTGGGTATTTTCAAGGTATAGTCACCGAATTTCGACTAACAACTGGGTTCCTACTTACCGCTGGGTAAACAGAGGCATATGGAGTAAGGAAATTTGCCTTCGGTTTCGACCAGCTGGGAATCGAATCCGGCTCCTCTCACTTTGCGAGTGGAGCACTCCAACCACTTCATCCCAGGACTGATATAATTTCAGCATCTCAGGGCTTCCTAATTTAATTCCTTGAGCGCTACAGAGCAAAATTAAATTCCTCGACTGCTGGTAACATTCTCGTTCGTGGGGGTGGGGTATGAGGTAGCAAACCATGCAAGCTTGTGACTTTTAATGTGCAGTTTCAATAGGTGCAAATTGTATCTATTCAGCTTTAATGTGCCGTTTAATTTGATGTAAATTGTAGGTAACGAACGAAGCATTAAACAAAGGGACCAGGATTGTGCCCAGCAATAACCTAATCCTCTCCTCCTGGGTTGAGCAGTCAATCTCATACCTGTGAGGGGATTGAGATATCTCCTGACACAGATGGAAAAGAAAAGAAAGTTTCTCTCTCCCACATCTTGATTAACAACATTTACAGTCATAATCCTTCCATTTGATATAGATGTTTATTAGGTCTTTGAGACATTTGAAAGCAATTCACAAAATATACTGTGAAGTGAATTGACAGTATATGTTGTAGGACAAATGCAGCAGCAAACTGCTCACAACTTGCTTTGGATACTCTTAACCCTGAAGATGGGTTTTCGCATGTGTTAGACACCAGCTGACCCCCAAATAAAACAATAACAAAACAGCTTTTACACCATCACTCACTGCATTTCTGCACAGCACACCAATGCTCTGTAGAATATTCTAAAGAAATACATATTGGTTGATCCAATTACCATATTTCCGAGGAGTAGGGTAGCGTTAAACTTAATATATTAACAAGTTGATCCCCACTGGCCCGAAATTCCACCCTGTCCCACCCTGCAAGACTGCTCTCCCACAGTTTGTATACATGAAGCTGTGCTTGCGAAATTAAACCTGGGTTTAAAGAGTATCAGGAATTCTATATTGCAATTACAGGAGGAGACCATTCAGGTCACCAAGCCTCCTTATGAGGCAGATTTTTTTATCCCATTTCCCTGCCTTTCTTTCCTTCTCCCCTCCCGCACACAGAGTATCCCTTCAGAGTATCCACCTCTCACAAAATTGAAATAGCCAGAAGTGGACAAAGGATGTGAATTTGGCTCTTATCACATGGAGACATCATTTGGGTTTAAATACTGCTGGTAAACACACACCTATAACAGCAGACGAATCAGCTTTACACTCTAAAGTGTATATACCTATTTGATTAGCTGGGCGTTTTAGAGAAAGCAACACATCAGGTATGTGCTTCCACAAGGCAGTAGATATTGTCTGAGGAAACAGAAGCCAGCAACGTGGAGTGTGAAACTATCATAGGGAAAGGTAAATAATTGCTACTCAATTTATCTGTACCTTAGTCACAACTTTATTTGCTTAAGATATTCTTTAAATACAATGTGTACTTGTATTCATTGGCTATTGACTTATGACTTATATTGACTCCGATGCATCGCCCGTTTCCGCCAATATCTCTCTCCGAAAGCCGCTGAAACCCTGGTCCATGCCTTTGTCACCTCTCGGCTGGACTGTTCAAACGCCCGGTCTCCCTACACTACCATCCATAAAGTCCAGATTATTCAAAACTCTGCCACCCGCATTCTCACCTGCACCAAACTCCACTCCCCGATTACTCCAGTCCTTGCCAGACTGGCTGCCTATCCCAGAGAGCATCGACTTCCAAGATCCTCACCATTGTCTTCAATCCCTCCACTCCTCTGCAGTCCCCTCCCTCTCTGACCTCCTTTCTTCTCAAAACAGTGCCTGTTGCCTTCGTTTCTCTGGGTCTGGCCTCCTCCTTGTCCCCCGAGTCCTCCGCTCCACCCTCAGCGGCCGTGCCTTCAGGCACTACGCCCCGAAGCTCTGGAACTCCCTTCCTCACTCCCTTCGCCTCGCTTCTTCCTATTTTCAGGCCTCTGCTGAATACCCTTCTTTGGTCTCCTTCTCTCTGGCTCGGCCCCGGGATCCGTTACTGTGAAGCGGTCTGAGACACTGTCTGGCATGGAGGGCGCTATATAAATCCATGTTGTTGTTGAAGTCAAGTTGTATTGTATGACACTGTTGTGCTTAATCTGTTAATACTAAACATTAATATTATGTTATAATCCTTCAATTTGACATTGTGTCTCATCACGTCATTGAACTATCTCAAAACATTTCTCAGGTTACATTGTAAAGACCATTTTGTGTAAAAAAAAACGTGGCAGCCAAATTGAACACTGCAGTGTCCCACAAATAGTTGTGTATTGAGTGCCCAAATATTTTTTGGGGGGAGGTGGTGGTTGGGAGATTAATACCTTCGGAATGATAGCAACTGGTTTCCTAATTACTGCTATGTAAGATGAAGCTTCTGGAGTATGGAAAGTTGACTAAGCCTTTGCCCGCCTGGAAATCAAGCCCAGGTCCTCTCGCATGCGAAGGAGGGGGCTAACCAATATGCAACAATATTATCTACTGTGTACAAATCTCCACAATCTCTCAGCCTAAGACTGTTAGAGCTTTCAATCTCTGTCTACAATATGATTCTCAATCCTGCTCTTTTATTAAAATTTACTCCACAGGTTGGCGAACCGGAAAGGATTCGTCCAAATACAATCAAGCGAGTGGGGGAGAGACTGGGAACAGCAGATATAGTTTGAGAAAGAGGGAGAGAAGAACATACACTGAGGAAAGTGATCTGCCTGAGGATGACTATCTGTGTAAGTGAAAAATCAATTTGAGTTTCTCAGCATAAAATGCTTCAGTGGTGAATCGGGCCAAAGTCAACCTGGCTCAGTTGGTTGCACTCTGGCCTCTGGGTGGTTGCACCAGCGCCTTGGGACGTCCTCCTGACGTGAAAGGCGCTTTATAAATGGAATAAATGGAATCTTGTTGTTCAATGGTTGTGGTTTGGAGACCCCTTAACAAAGACAATGAGATCACAGTCTTGGATAACAATGTAGAGCAGGTCTGGGGGAAGGAGCGCCATATTGAAAGAGGTGCCTCCTCGGTGTCCTCGCTTTAATGGAGGATAAGGGACAGGGATGCGGTCTTTAGGAAAATGGAAGTTCTGGTCAGCGACGGAAACCAAATGCGAATGTCGAGACTAGGAATGGGTGATCAGAGAGTCAGCCCACCCTTTGGTGCATAGCTGAGCTGAGGAGAGAGAATCTGAGGCTGGGAACATGGCGCTTAATTGGAGGGACAATTGTCAATGGATTCATAACATATAGGAGCAGGAGTAGGCTATTCGGCCCTTCGAGCCTCTGCCCCGCCATTCAATCATGGCTAATCTTCTAATCTAACTCCAGCTAATAACCTGACCCTGCCTTATCACCATATCCGTTAATACCTTTGGCAGTAAGAAATCTATTCGATAGAGTTTGAGTGATTAAGAAACAGGAAGGAGAAAGGTGAGAAGGGAAAGGAAGAAGTTTGATAGTCCCACTCACTGCCAGCCATAACCCCACTTTCATGATTTGAGCCTATGAATGCTCAAAATGATCATTTTAAAACTTCAAGGTATTAGTCTGGCTCTTCTGAGTTATATACTCGCCTTTGGAATATGAGTTCAAGATACATGTCACAACTTTGAGCTTATAGTCCAGGTACTCACCGCCCAGTTACTGGGGTGGTTGGGTGGGGGGAGGGGTGGGATGTTTCATTGTCACAGATGCGAACCATTAACTTAGTTCCGTCTGTGCCTCTTCAGACAGAGGTTAAAGATCCTACGGGAGTAATGGAAGTCTGATGTAGCATCCTATCATGTCATCAAGACATCCCAAAATGCTTCACATGAATTTACTGTGAAGCCCAGTGACAGCAGGAGCTGATTTGCTTATATAGCAATATCACCCAAACAGCCATGAGCTAACTGACACATTTTATTTGGGTTATTGTCAGCCAGGACACTATGGTGAGAATGAAAAACTCCATTCTCTTTTGGAATAGTGTCATGGTATCTTAAATGTCCAGCTAACCAGACATGGACAGGGAGCTCAGTTTAACATCTCATCTGAAGTACGGCACCTCCGACAATGGAACACACCCCCAGCACCAAAATCAAAGTTTCTTCCAGTGAAGTCATCCTCTGCACTAATCACTCACCCACTCACCTGAATGAAGCGTTGTATATCAATGAAAGTTATTGTTATCACAACACTTGGCAGTATTTACTGTAAACTGCATCAAGTGTTTTCACTTGATCAGTTGCCGTATAAATGCACGGATTCATTCAAAATTGTTCAAACAGCAATTCCTAAAGGAAGGTCTAATTTGTTTCTGATACAGATCTTTCTTTTCACCCATTAGCCCCCAATATGGATGATTCTGAGGCTGATCCTTCAGAGTTCCTTCAGAAACACAGGAGAAAACATCCCGAGTTCTGCCCAGACATGTCAGAAACTCAGTCTGCTTGTAGCATCAATGATTCTTCACAGCAGAAAGAGTGTCAGGGATCTATCACATATACTATTGGAGAAAAGAGGTTTATGCAAATGAAATCTCTACAGAATCATCAGATCTCAGGAGAGAGACCATATCAATGTGCCAAAAGTGAGAAGAGTTTCACACAGTCAGGGCACCACGAGACACACCAGCGATCACACACAAAAGAGAGATGGTATCTATGTGCCAAATGTGGAAAGAGTTTCAAAAGTTCATGGCAACTCAAGGTACACCAACGTTTACACACAGGAGAGAGGCCATATAAATGTGCCGAATGTGGAAAAAGTTTCACACAGTCAGGGCAACTCAAGGTACACCAGCGATCACACAGAGGAGAGAGACCACATAATTGTGCCGAATGTGGGAAGAGTTTTACAACATCAGGGGATCTCCGAAAGCACCAACTATCACACACAGGAGAGAGACCGTATCAGTGTGCTGAATGCAGAAAGAGATTCAGAACGTCGGGGTATCTCCAGGTGCACCATCGATCACACACAGGAGAAAGACCGTATAAATGTGCCAAATGTGGTAAGAGTTTTGCAAGTTCAGGACAACTCAAGGAACATCAGCGATTACACACAGGAGAGAAACCGTATAAATGTGCCGAATGTGGAAAGAGTTTTACACAGTCAGGCAGCCTCAAGGTACACCAGCGATCACACACAGGAGAGAGACCATATCAATGTGCCGAATGTAGGAATAGTTTCACAACGTCAAGGAACCTCAAGGTACACCAGCAATCACACACAGGAGAGAGACCATATAAATGCCCCGAATGTGGAAAGAGTTTCAAACAGTCAGGGTACCTCAAGGTACACCAGCGATCACACACAGGAGAGAGACCATATAATTGTGCCGAATGTGGGAAGAGTTTTACAACATCAGGGGATCTCCAAAAGCACCAACGATCACATACAGGAGAGAGACCGTATCAGTGTGCTGAATGTGGAAGGAATTTCAGAACGTCGGGATATCTCCATATACACTATCGATCACACACAGGAGAGAGACCATATCGATGTGCCAAATGTGGTAAGAGTTTCACAAGTTCAGGACAACTCAAGGAACATCAGCGATTACACACAGGAGAGAAACCGTATAAATGTGCCGAATGTGGAAAGAGTTTCAGACAGTCAGGCAGCCTCAAGGTACACCAGCGATCACACACAGGAGAGAGACCATGTCAATATGCCAATGTATCAATGTAAATTTGTTACTTTAATTGCCTTTGAAGCAGATAATTTTACACTTCTATACAGTTCTCCAGATGTGGTCAGTTATTTCAGCCATATGATTGCGGGTTGGATGAGGGCCTAGTTGGGCCTAGAGTCTTTATACAGACAACTTAATGATACTCCATCCAGAGAGTCGCTGTTTCCTGCAATAACCAGAGACGGGTTTTGTTCATGGACGTGTCACTACCTCTGGGTTGGCGTCACTGGTGAGGATTGGCTCTGTAATTGCTTAGCTGATCTGCGTGGGGTGGCGGTGGGAGAAGGATATAAATTTGCATGGGAGATGGACATGAGGGATATTACTTTGTGTGGTGTGCAGAAATGAGGTACGGTGTGTGGGAAATGGTTATTTTTTGTGTGTATGGGGGAGGGGTGTGAAAGGGATTTCAATGTGTGGGAGAGGTGAGGAGTGTGGGGTACATATTAATGTATGTAGGGGTGAGGGGGCAGGTGAGGTGTGTGGGATAGGGATATTCATGTCTGTGGGCGGGGGAGGGGTTGGGGTGGGAGAGAGGAAAGCTGAGAAGCGAGGAAGAAAGATATTGATTTGTGCTACCATGAGGTTGGGGCTCCTTCCATGTACAAGTTCACTGTAATGTTACAATAAACTCTTAACTAATATTGAAGCCATCAAAATGGAATACTTTGAATTTTTCATGAATTTGCTATTCTCTCATTTAGTCATGTGTGAAAGATACAGATAACCTCCATCTCCAAATAGAGATTAATTTCAGGTGACCGTATAATGTGTATATATAACAGGACAGAGACACTAATTCTCAAACAATATATTCAGGGAGGCCAAGGGAGTTGGGCAAGAGGTCATCCGAGATATAGAGTGAGAGGGACCTTTACTTTATCTCACTCTCTCACATTCTCTAGTCCCCCCTCTCTAAATCACTCATCTCTCACATACACTTTCTCCCCTCCCACATTCTCAAAAACTCTCTCCTTATCTCTCTACTTTCTCCCTCGCCCTCTGTTTCCTTATCTTCTCCCATCTCTCTCACACATTCTCCCTATTTTTCTCAATTGTTATTTCTCTCACTTTCTCTCCCAAACACTCTCTCTGTGTTCTCTCCCTTGTTCTCTGCTCTCTCTCCCTCTCTTTCTTTCTCTCCCCACCTCGATGATACTCTCTATATTTCTCTCAATCACATTCTGTCTACTTTCAACTTTCAATCACTCTCCCTCAATCAACCTCACTCTCCATCCTCTCTCGCAATCACTATCTCCACAACTCAGCTACATTTTACCCACAAATATACAGTCAATTCACTTTACAGTCTATTCTGTGGAGCGCTTTGAGAAGTCTAGAAGACGTGAAAAATCACTATATTCAAATGCAAGGATTATTATTAATATTAGTCTTCCTATTTCACACAATTCTCTCTTTCCCTCTTTCACAAATTGTCTCTCGTTTACACACAATCATTGTCTCTCTCCATTCTCACATTTGTACTTCTCTCAATCACTCTTCCCTTTTTTGCTATCTAGCTCTCACACATAGTCTTTCTCTCTCATTCAACCTCTTACTCTTTTTCAATCACACTTTCTCTTTCTCCACACTAGCCTCAGGTCACTATCTGCAGTGACAAGAGGCAATGGTTTTACAGAGGCAGTGGATAAGGATTTGCCTTTTTGACAGACTGCAATAACAACCTGAAAAAGCCACTGCCCACAACGCACACTTAGGCATCCCCAAACCTTGGCTCTTGCCAAACTGCATCTAATACTTTCCAGAATTAAGTAAACAGGATGTATGGAGTGAGTTACATTCCATGAAAACAATCTATCTCTGCGATTTCCATATGTGGTTGGATGCATTGGAAATCTCAGCTTGATTTGGATACTCTGAAGCAGGTGACCAGGTCACTTACCCAGTAATTAAATGGATGACCCGGTCACCCACTGACTAAGCTACCAGACAGCTCACTAACAAACACGCTGTTCTATGGCTTTCTCTGGGGGATTGTTGGCTGGGTTACTGGGAGGGAGTAACTCCCTTTTTTATTCCAGTCGCGCTGCAGGAGCGTGAACTTACACTTGAACACGCAGACGGGAGCTGGGTTTAATGTCTCATGCACACGATGGTGTCTCTGACAATGCAGCACCCCCACCATCCCCTGCACTATGATGGACTATCATCTTAGACTGTGACTCAAAGTCCCCGATTGCGAGGCGAGGTGACCAATAAGATAGGCGAACACACGATTGCTCCCTCACCTCGACCCCCACCGTGTGACGGTGCGGGTGCCATACTTTGCTCATCGTGGCTAACTTACTCAGCCCCTTTGCCTGTTTCACCCTCCCTTACTTCTCCATAAGCCTTCTGAAATCTCAGTTAATCTCCTTTGAACGCATTTCCTGTCACCTCCCTGTCTCTCTTTCCCTGGCTGTGTCAAACCGTGCCACTTTCCGAGGCTCCAAGTCGCTGCACCGCGTGACTGCCAGTTGTCCCCATCGCACCGACCAAAAGTGTCTGAAGTCTTTATGTGCAAGAATTTTTTTAAAAATCTTCCACAAAATATACAGTCAATTCACATTACACCATATTCTGTGAGGCGTTTTAAGATGTTTCAAAGACTTGATGAGGCACTGTATCTAATGCAAGGATTATTATTATTATTATTGTTCAATCTTCTGTCTGTCTTCTCACAGAAAATTACTTTTTTTTAAAAATGGGGGTAGTGTGCAATATTACTGGAATGTGTTAGGAATATTTGTAGATGGATTTAGGATAAAGGTTCTTTGATAATTAAACCTCTACTTCTGATTCAAACAAATTTTTCCACGATTGTTCGAGTCCTGTATCATTGTGGTTAGAGCGTTCGCCTCACAAGCAAGAGGACTCGGGTTCGATTCTTAGGTAGGACAGGGCGAAACTTTAGGCAAATTTCGTTACTCCACACACATGCCTGTTTGCCTAGTAGTAAATCGGAAACTGATTGTTACTGGATTGGTGTATCGTTTTCTGGGGATAATAATACCTTCAGAAATAAAACATAATAAATGAAATGCAAAATACTGCAGATGCTAGAAATCTGAAACAAAAACAGATTGCTGGGAACACTCAGCAGGTCAGGCAGCATTTACGGAGAAAGGAAATTGGGTCAACTAAGGGGAACTGATGAATTTCTGACCAAGTATCATGAACCGGAAACGTTGACCCATTTTCCTTTCTCCATAGATGCTGTCTGAACCGCTGAGTGTTCCTCGCTATCTCTGTTTTTATTAATAATAATAAATCGGTCATTGGTCGACCACTGCTGTGCACAATCACCCTTAAAATATACAGTTAATCTGCATCATAGTATATTCAATGACACACAAAGTCAAAGCCAATCACATTCACACACTCATATAAAGTCAAACACAAACACACACTAACCTGTACAAAAATACAAATAGACACATTCACACAGAGTGAAAGGGAGACACAAAGATAATGTCGTACTCAAGCACATCAAATACTTGAAGAGAGAGACAGACACTTGCAGACATATGGGATTAACATAACATAACCTAATAGCCTTATTCCCATATCCCTTAATCCTTTTGCAATAAATATATCTATCTCAGTCTTGAATATGTTCAAGGATTGAGCGTCAACAGCCATTTGGGGTAGTGAGTTCCATACATTCACTGCCCTTTGAGTGAAGAACTTCTTCCTCAACTCAGTGCGAAAGGGCTGCCTCTGATTTTAAGGTTGTGACCCCTGGTTTTAGTTTCTCCAACCGGGGACACAATCTCCCATTATCTATCATGCCCTTTGATGATCTTATAGGTTTCTATAAGATTCCCCTCTAATTCTTCTATATTCTAGAGAATATAGGCCCAAATTGGTCAGCCTATCCTCGTAACTCAACCCCTTCATTCCTGGTACTAACCTAGTAAATCTACGCTGCACCCCCTCCAAGGCAAGTACATCCTTCCTTAAATAAAGAGACCAAAACTGCACAAAGTATTCCAGGTGTGGTCTCACCAGGGCCCTATACAGTTGCAGCAAGACTTCCCTACTCTTATACTCTAATCCTTTCATAATGAATGCTAACATACCGTTTGCCTTCCTAATTGCTGCTGCACCTGCAGACTAACTTTCTGTGATTGGTGTACAAGGACACCCAAGTCCCTCTGGACGCTAACACATTCCAATCTCTCCCCTTCTAAAAAATAACCCGCTCTACTGTTTTTGCTACCGAGGTGGATGACTTTGCACTTCCCTACATTATACTTCATCTGCCACCTACCTGCTCAATCACCCAATCTATGTCTCGCTGCATTTTTTTAATGTCATCCTCTGTGTTGACACTTCCTCCTAGTTTTGTGTGGTTAACCCTCTCACATCATCTCCCAAACCTTCCCTTACCCGGGAAGTTAGACGGACGGTGTAGAAGGACCTCTACTCTGTCTCCAACCATGATCCGTGAATGTGGACACACAGTGCAGAGGGACTTATACTGTGACTTTGACCCTTACCTTGGAATGTGTGAGGACAATACCATTTTCCGATTTCTATGCATCCAACAGGTTATCATAGTCGATAGCGATTTCTGTTAATGAAATAATCTAACAATTAGAATGAATGGAAATATTTATTTATAATATTTATTATTTATTAATATATTAATACACATTATTAATAATAATTAGAAATCCTTGCATTCGGTTCAGTGCCTTAATATGTTGTTGTGATGTCTCAAAGTGGTTCACATAATATCCTGTAAAGTAAATTGATATTATTCTAACAACTGAGCTACAGGGATCCATTAATACATATATGTTAATAGTACTTTTGAGACTGACTAACATTTCATACAGCACCATCTGGCGTCATCCAAACATCTCAAAGCAATTGACTAGATTTGATGGCAAAGACTGTATTTGTTGCACAAACAGCTATGACGTGATTTATCAAGTTTATCTCGGAGATTGCTGCCTAACATACCCAAATGAATTTCCTTTTCTTTTTGTATTGTGCCATAAGACCTTCAACGTCTAAAGAGGCAATTCCTCAAAATCCTGTCATGTGGCTGGAACACACAATTTTCTTATTGAGAGGAGAAAGGGCTGTCAGCTAAGTCAGGCTACAAACTTTACTGAAAACTTATCTCACTAATGAATTGGTTGGAGCACATGCCAGGAACTCCAAAGATGGCGACAATTGGACAGTAAATTTGTTCTATCTTGCGCAACTATCATCCTCGCAGAGAACTGATGATACCTCCTATTGGTACACACAGCAGCTCACACCAACAAGATAATATTCATTAGCAAAAACACAGTGTGATTTATAGCAACGTGAACACTTCATTGAGCAGATTTACTGCACGAACATGAATGAGTTTCAGCGATGTGGAAAACATATACACTCCTGAGCCATGTAATGTAACTCAATTATTTATTTTTACCAGCTTGTTGTCTCATCCATGCGGAAACCCATCGCCATGATTTCAACATGCAAAAGGCTGCCCTGCATGAATGTGCATGGCACTACATGAACTCTAATCGTTGTTGTTAAAGTATCTAAACCATAATGAAAGATCCATTTTTGCAGCTATTTACAAATGTATACCAACCCATGTCTGGAATAAAGGCTCCTTCTCTGCCTTAACTGATTCTGGAGAGTA